AGCCACAGGGAGAGGCACTGCACCGCTCCCCGTGGCCCCTGGGCCCAGGCGTCGAGGGGCGTCTGCTGGGCTTCCCTGCCCTGCAAGCGCGTCCCCACCCAGCAGGGGTGGTCGTCCTGCCTGGAGCTTGGCGACGCCCCTGCTCTGAGGGACATAAGCCCCACCGGCTACAGACTGAACTTGGATTGGGAACAGAAGTGAGGGATTTAGCTCATTAGGGCTGAGTTCCTTTTTTTCTCCTCCTTTGAAATAAAATCTTTTTAAGTTAAAAAAAAGGGAGGTATCTTAAAGCTGGGAATAAGCATATTTCTCAGAGTTCCCAGGAACCATGTTAAGGTCCGAGTTCTGCGTGCTGGGGACGCTGTTCCCCAGACACTGTTCCCTGCAGGCCTCCTCCTGGGCCGCCACGGCCTGAGATGGGCTCGCGCCAGAGCAAGAGCCAGTGAGCCGTCCCATAGTAAGTGAGCTGAGGGTGAAGCGGTCTGCGCGCGGCCGGGCATGGGGCGTGGGGAGGCCAGGACCTTCCCAGGTGGCTTCAGTGTGGTCTCCTGCTCCTCCCAGGCTGGAGGGAGAGCGGGCTGGAGACGGGAGGCTGCTGGACGGCACAGGGAGCCGTTCTAAGGGAGACACTCACGCAGCTCCTCCTCAGGGCAGCTCAGAAATGCCCGGGGTGGCAGGCAGCCACGGCTCCTCCCCAAGCAGAGCTGGAGCCCCTGTGGAGTGGGAGCACTGCACCACTGCCCAAGGCTGTCGCCTAGGGGGCTGTCGGGCCCGGGAGGGCCGGGCCTGGGGGGGGCGTGGGGGAGGGCGCAGGTCAGCGCTTCTGTCGTGGGAAGGCTCCTGGAGACGCAGCCCTGGGAGCCTTGGAGGTGGCCCCACGGCTCTGGCTCCTGGGGTTCCTGTCCTGGTGTCGTCTTGCCCCCATGTGGGCCGCCTGGTGACTTCCAGCTACTGGCTGGCTGCAGTGGTGTTATGGGTGCTCCGCGGGGTGGAAGGCAGACTCCCCGGTGAGCAGGAGGGAGTATCTGGGGACCCGCAGCCCCCAGCGCCCCGGGGGACGAAGACCTCCGCTCAGCGTCTCCGAGGACCGAGGACGCCCGCGGCTCTGGGCCTGGAGACATCCTTCCAGTGAAGACGGGAGACACCGCCCTGAGTCCTGGGGATGCCCTCCTGCAGCCCGAGACCCCCCAGGACGCCCTTAACCGTGCCCAGGCGTTGAGTGCGGAGCTCGTCTCTGACGGCAGGGAGCTGGCGCACAGGCGATGCGTTGGATGCCTTGGCGAGCCGGCGCTGTAACGTGCCCAGCCGGGCAACACCCGGCCCACGGCTGAGACTGCACACGTTTACCATCAAGGTCTTTGCCCCTGTTCTTCTTCATCTTAACACAGTTGTCCACGAGTCGGATGGTCACTGTGTATGTGCATCTGTGTGATGGCTCTGCCCTGTTCCTCGTGGTGTTGCATGTGTCTGCACATCTCCGTCCATAGCAGAATCATAGTTCCTGGGAGGACACTTTCTCGTGGTTCGCGGGTGACCCTTCACGGTGCTGACAGTGCTGGTGGCGCACTTTCAGAACCTGAGTTTTGGGTTTAGTTGTCTATTTCTAAGTAAGAATATTCTAGAAGCAGCTTGTCCTCAGAAGGAGGAGATGGGGGAAGAAGGCAGGTAGTGTGAGAGCGTGGTGTGGCCGAGCGTGTCAGCCTTTGCCTTTGGTGATTTGGAGGTGGGGGGCGCACTGCCGACCGCCCCGCGCCACGCTGGTGCCTTAAACACTTCCTTCTCTGTGGGCAGTTCACAGCAGTACAGACGTTTAAAGCCGTTCCCTGAATTACTTACTGCAGGCGGATCAGAGGAAGTTACTTTAGGCATAAACATGCATTTATGTGTTTGTATAGGTGCACGTGGGTGTCAATTAGGTAAATGTGTGTGTGCACACAGATGTACGTGGCGGAAAGAGGTCAATGGTTAAAAACGGGTGAAGTGTTAAGAGCTGCATCTGGATAAATTGCACACAGGTGGTTCTATACTATTCTTATTCTCCAGATTTCTTGTGATTTAATTATTTCCAAGTAAAAGTTTAAAGTTTAAATGCAGGCACTTATATTAATATGCAATGGGTCATTATTGTTTTTAAATGAATTAAATATATGTTTACAGTTTGCTCAGTTGTGTTGTAAGAGAGTGGATGGTAACAGATCTCAGCACCTAAACAAGGCTCTGTGGGTTCTCCATGCTTCTCAGTGCTGAGGCCCGTGCGAGGCTCCCCGGGGTGGGTGGTGTCCCACGTTCTCTTGGGCGGGTTATGCCATTAGCCCAGAGCTGCCTGGTGGGCGCCCCCTGCTGATTCTGTGAGCCCGGGAGACAGCCTCTCTGTGCCGGGGGCACCTCGGTAAGCGAGGGGTGGGCACGGTCCGTCTCGGCCGTGAGGGGAGTCAGGTGCCCTCGTCTGTAAAGCTCTCGTACTGGCCTCCGCGGGCGCCGTGGCGCGTGGGTGTCCGCTGTGCTGCTGCTGCTCTCTGCCGTTGGCTTGTGTTCTGGCTGGTGATGTTGTTATAATTACGTGCACATGGACCGCGGCAGAGACACCGAACACGGGCGTCAGGTGGTTCGTCAAGCGCAGGTTCACAGTGTCCCTGCCCCTTCGCAGAAGGGCTGGGTCAGGGAAGCGCGGAGAGCGGGCAGCGGGGCTGAGGGAGAGCCCGGCCCTGGGGGGCGGGGAGGACAGCTGTGTGCAGAGACAGGCACCGCGGGCAGCAGGGGCTGAGGGAGAGCCCGGCCCTGGGGGGCGGGGAGGACAGCTGTGTGCAGAGACAGGCACCGCGGGCAGCAGGGGCTGAGGGAGAGCCCGGCCCTGGGGGGCGGGGAGGACAGCTGTGTGCAGAGACGGGCACCGCGACGGGACAGGCGGCAGGGGCCCTCCCCGCCCGCTCCGGGCATCTGGGTTCCAGATGTGCCCTCGCTTCCGGGGGTGCCGGCTGATTGAAGTTGTTGCAGCAACACACACTGAGAGAGGAGGGCCCCGCTGACTGCGCCATCCCCTGTTGTCCAGCTGGAAGCCAGTGACAAGGGAAGGCAGTTCGACTGTTAAAAACCGCTGTGTCCGCAGCTCCACATCCAAGTGATCAGTTTTTAAAAAAATATTTTTTTTATTGATTTTAGAGAGAGGGAGGGAGAGGGATAGAGCTAGAAACATCAATGAGAGAGAATGAATCATTGATGGGCTGCCTCCTGCACACCCCCCACTGGGGATCAAGCCCACAACCCAGGCATGTGCCCTGACCGGGAATCGAACCCTGACCTCCTGGTTCTTAGGCGGATGCCCAACCACTGAGCCACACTGGCCAGGCCAAATGATCTGTGTTTTAAAAGACATCAAAGGATAAGTAAATGTGCAGGCTTTCTGTTGTTTGGGCACACTGTTTGTCCTTTAATCTTTTTTGCTAAAGTTGTGATTTACTTTTGCGGTTTTCTTACAGATCATCAGAAACTGGAAAGGGAAGCCAGAATCTGCCGTCTTCTCAAGCACCCCAACATCGGTAAGGAATGAGCTCAGTGCCTTAAGTTCTAGTTTAAAGTGTTATGGTGGGTATGCTTACCACAATAAAGTGGGTTTTTTTTTTTAATAATCTAGTATTTGCAACTATTATCAAATAGGCTCCTAACTTTTAGTCTTGGTTACATTTGATTCTTTAAAGCTTTTTAAGTTTTTCCAGAAAAAGCAGTTCTATATATGTTAACATTTAAAAACTAACATAAGGTATTAGTTGAAAAGGCCTTTGTGTGTCTCCATGGGTTCTGCGCGGCAGCGGGTGCAGGCGGAGGCGGTTTGCGCCGGGCGCTCAGCACCTCCTTGCCCCCCAGCCCTGTGGGAAGTCTCCTTACCGTCCCTGACCCTGTTCCAGAGACGAGTGAAACTAGTGTAGAGTAGCCCCTCTGATGAGTCTTACAACAGCCCAGTGATGTTCAGAATAAAACATGGGTGAACATAAGGAACAGAGGGAGAAAAGGAAGAACAGCTCCGCTGCTAGCCTCTGCGGCGTGGGGTCTCCTCGGGGAAGGTTCCGGCCCAGCTCTGCAGGGTCACTGTCCGCAGAGCCTTCTGCCGTGGCGGCCAGAGGCTGGGCAGCCGGACTCGCCGTCACCACGGAGGGGCCTGGGGTTCCTCTCCTGCGACGGAGAGGCCCTCGCGGTGTCTGTTCTGCCGGGAGGTTCATGACCCCGCTTCGTGGGTGTTTCTTAGGTTCTGACGTGAACAAGCAGGCTCTGCGAGGTCACCCTGAAGCATCGACCAGCGAGCGGGGTCCTGGCTGGGCCTATGCGCAGGTGCTGCGTCCCTGAGAGTCACACAGGGAACAGCCTGGCTCTTCTCCCTGGAACAGACGATGCGATGGCCAAGAGGCAGGGGCCTCTGGTCCTCGTCTTCCCCTTCCTCGCCTTCCTCCACTGGATCACGTGCTCAGCTTTCTGCCAGGCTTTAGCACGTCTGGGGAGGTGATGCTGCTTGGACAGTGTTTCCCCTGGGAACTTGGTACATTTTATTTTTGTGTGCCTTTCTCTTGGCACGGGGTCCATAATCTAGAACAGGGGTCCTCAAACTACGGCCCGCAGGCCACATGCAAATACAAATATTATATTTGTTCCTGTTTTGTTTTTTTACTTCAAAATAAGGTATGTGCAGTGTGCATAGGAATTTGTTCATAGTTTTTTTTTTAAACTATAGTCCGGCCCTCCAACGGTCTGAGGAACAGTGAACTGGCCCCCTGTTTAAAAAGTTTGAGGACCCCTGATCTAAAACCTGCGGCCAAGAGACAGTTTCTCCCAGAGAAACACATTTAAAGGGGGGCTCGTGAGGGGGGGTCGCTGAGCACTGTCTCACCAGGGCTGCGTTGATGTTTGTCTGACGTTCACAGTAATGCACACACTTAGTGGCAAGTGTGGAAGCCATCATGCATGAAGAAACCAGAGGGAACAGCCTTAATACTCGTATTCATTTCTGCCTTTATAATGTATCTGACGTGTCTGTTACCTTCCAGATCTCTTGTGAGCATTTTTACAGCCCTTTAGTGAACCAGGGAAATGTAATTTTTGTCTCGAACTCAACAAAATGAACGTGTCACTGTGGTGATGAAGCAGCGGTCAAGGGAGACAGCGTCCCTGCTTTCCCACCCCCTCCCCGCCCCGCCCGCGGCATGGCAGGGATCGCTTCCATGAGAGGACCAGGTGGGCAGTTTGGTGCCGGTAGACGGTGTGGCTGCTGTCAGAGAGGCAGTCCTGCCTGAGCTAAAGCCGAGGTGTCATTCAGTGTCCTGGGCGCAGGGGGTGCGGGGGAGCTAGCTCAGGCTCAGTGCAACAGAGCCCCCAGGACTGGCAGCCCCTGGGACTGGGAACCTCCCTGGGACATGGCCCCCCAGGACTGGCAGCCCCTGGGACTGGGAGCCCCCCTAGAACGGGGAGCCCTGAGGACTGGGGGCCCCGGGGACCGGGAGCAGGGAGCAGCATGGTGTGAGTGGTGGAATGACCACGAGGATATATGGGGGTGGGGGTGGGTCTGACTACATTGGCGGAACGATTTTGTTAGAGGCAGGCCGAGGACTGAGACCCCACGGGTAGGTGAGGTCACAGGTCCGAGAGGGCACGACCCAGCAGGATTCTTCGCTCGGACTCCTTGCAGGGTGGGGACAGGGCCCCGGACACAGCCCGGGGAAGGGCTCGGGGAGCCTGCGTGCAGGGCTGAGGGATGTGTGAGGAGTCACGTCTCCGTGACCTCCAGGTGACAGGAGGGTCAGTCAGGAAGAAGCCAGGAGAGGTTACAGCCGAGGGCTGGGCTTCCCTCCTTCGGGGAGCGAGGGGCCGCGCCACCTTCCCTGGGGAAGGGGGGCTGGGAGGCTGGGTGGGGGCTGTGGAACCAGCTCGTGCTCAGCGGGTGGGAAGCCAGGGCAGGTCTGAGCTCAGCAAGAGGGTGCACCCGTCTGACGCTGCCCATGGAAGTGCTGTGTCCTCGCAACCCAGCGTGCGCACCCCAGGCCCCCCTCTGCTCGGGAGATGTCAGCGCTGCAGCCAGGCTCTCTGTGGTCCTCCCGCATGGAAGGGCACCGGCTCCCTGAGGCCCCGCAGATGGGAGCGGGCGGCAGCCCCTCAGGCTGCAGCGAGCAGGGCCTGCGTCCTGCTGGGGAGCTGACGGTGGCTCAGCCTCAGCACAAAGGGGCCAACAGTTGGAGGGAACTGGACCTCACGCCTGCTCCTCTGGTTCACTCCCCTTTTATCATTATGTATCTTTTATTTTCACAAAATAACTGGTTTTCTCTTAATATTTGTTAAACCAAATTGAGCTACATCAACTTACGCCTGACCTCAGGGAAAATACCTCGAAGGTGATGGTGACGTGTTTGAGGCAGTAGCCACAGTGTTTTCACTCTACTCGCGTTTCCATTGATTTTGTGCTTGATCTTTGGAAGCATCACTGTTGAGAAATGTATTGAAACCTGTGGTGAAGCCAAATAGCTCCGACGTCCGGAGAAGCCAGGAAGGCAGGCAGAAAGGCTGTCTCCCCGCCTGGTGTGAAGGCGTGGGCCCGGGAGGAAGAGGGGACCAGCGGGTCCTGTGCGGAGCGGACACGCGGGCCTGACGTGCGAGGGCGGATGCAGGCGACCTTGTGGCTGGAGGAAGGAGGGGTTTGCTGCAGGCGATCCGTTCTCTAGAGGCCTTGATTGACACTGTAGACTTTAGAAAGGCAGCGCCTCGTCTCGAAAGGTTAAAGAAGCATTTACATCTCAGCGTCCACCCCAGCCCTGGACCGCAGCCCACTGTTAGGCCTGAGGCCCTTTTCACCCTGTCTGGTCAGTGCTGCGGCCCGTGCAGTGCGGTGACCTGTGGGCCACATCGTCACGTCTGACAGTCTCCTTCCTTCCAGCTGGCCCCCCACTACCGCAGACAGGCACGCGCCCCTGCGCCTCGTCGGGCGGGTGGAAATGAAGGGAAAGGAGCGCCTGTCTCAGCGGACCACGCTCCCCGCTGACCGCGCTCCCCGCTGACCGCGCTCCCCCACTG